TTTTTTTTTTTTTAAAGCATATTGCATTAGTACTAAAATAAGCCATCAATGCCAGTCCACCCTCTATTCACGGCTAAATATTTAAAGGAGGTTATTTATAGCTTCTTTAATGAATTCTTGGCTAAACAAAATGAAATTATGTCCTAGAAAAGTAGAAGCTATTTTGTAACCAGAACAGTGCAACTGTAAAATATAGTTCCATGAATATGTATTTTAAATAACAAGGGGTTGAGATCCAAGACTACCAGACATGGGTAATTAGAGGAAAACTGAGAGAAAGAAAGAAAGGGGGAGAAAGAGAGAGAAAAACACCCTTTAAAAAGATTTATTTAGATATCTTCTGAAATACTTCCCGCTTCCAGTTACTTCAACAAACCAAATACCCCTTGTCACCATAGATCAGTTTCAAATCAAAATTAATTCTTTGCTTGTTTTCTTTTTGTCTCCCCTCCCCTTTTTTTCACATCTCTGCTCACGAGAAAAAGTAGGATAAATGCACCTTAGGTTTTAATGAATTATGGCCTCAGTTCAGGGAAGCATCCTTACTCAGGAATGCACTTTGGCATGTGCTTATGTCTCAGAGATTTTGTAAAGAAGAATGGATTTAACCACATGCTTAAAACTAAGCACATGAGTGTTTTCCCTAATAGGGAGCCTGAGTGTGTCTGTGCCTTTCTGCAGTATATTTAATTGTCAGAGGGTTCTCAGGCTGGAATGAGCCTTCATCTTCCCTCTCTTCACTTGGGCTTCAGCAGCAGACTCACTTGCAGTGCCTAGAGCAAGAGAGATGGCTGTAGGCATTTTATAGAATGTTTACAAACACCAAACAACAACAAAAAATTTAAATCTATCAAAGCAGATAAAAATCTAAGCAGTAAAAAGGAATCATGTGAAGGCCTGTCTCCGTGAGGACCTAAAATTTGCTTTCTCTGCAGCACTGGAGCTCAGAAGTGCTGCAGGTGACCAACAAATGGGTAAAGTAAACATGGGATGGAGCAACAGATCCCTGAATTGGAGGCATGAAGGGCTCCTGGGGGTAAATTAATTTTCATATGCCTTTTTGCCCCCTGTGCTACCATTCTGGATTTTATTCACTTAAATAACAATAAGCGCACATTTAAATGGCGCTTTTTACCCCCAGTGCTGCCATTCTGGATTTAGTTTGCTCAGTACTTTGTACTAAGTACTTGGTACTTTTAATGGTACAAGAGGGTTGTATTTTAATGGCACTTTTTACCCCAAGTGCTGCCATTCTGGATTTTATTCACTTAGGCGAAAATAAGGGTACATTTTAATTCTGAAATTCCTTTGGTGACTCCGTGCTGCTGGAAGGCTCCGTGTTTGCTGAGGGCTCTGGGCACGGGGCTGAGGGAGGGCTCTTGGCTTTCCCCGTGCTCCCAAAAGCTTTTTGGTGTGTCCTGAGCCAGAGTGCATTGGCTGGGCCAGCTGGTCACCACGGTGGCACAGGAATGCACACTGTGGCAGGACCCCCATGACTCTCAGCGTGCCCTGCTGCCCGGGCACAGGTGGCAGTGCCAGGTGGGCACAGTGCTGGGGACAGAGCGGTGGCAGCAGCCAGCCTGGGCCGTGTGTCCCACCGCCCCTCGCTGCCCTCTGCGCTGATTGCCTCAGTTAGGCACGGCAAATGACCCGTCGGGAGGAGCTACTGCTCTTAGATCTTCCTAATTGCCATCAGGTGTGCTGGGCACCTGCCCGCACCCAGAGGAGGGGCTGCGTGGGGAGCACCTCGCTGTGTGAGGTGCTCGTTCCCAGGCTGGTGGTCTGGCTGGGGGAGCCGCAGGAAGGAGCAGAGGATGCCGAGTGCTCCGTGCCCTGTGCCGGGAGGAGCAGAGGATGCCGAGTGCTCCGTGCCCTGTGCCGGGAGGAGAGGCCCGGCCCGGCCCGGTGGGGCCTGGAGCCGGTTCTGAGCTACCTGATTCATCTCATAAGGTGAGCTGCACTTCGCGCCTTCCATCGCTCGCTTAGGGCATCTAAAGCAGCAGATTTTTGGATGTCTCACGAATGTCTAAACCAGCTGTTTTGGCTGTTCATTTTAACTAAGTGATTTATGCCGCAAAAAACGAGCTGGGATTAAAAGAAATCAGATGTGTGCGTTTGGAATGCAGCGTCTCTGCGTTACAAATAGCTCCTCTCTAACCCACATTAACCCCACGATACGTGAATTTTGCCAACTCCCGCTGCGTCTTTTAAATCAAGCCCAGCAAATCGTTCCCGGGTGCGCTGAGAGCCGAGCCCTTCCCTTCCCTTCCCTTCCTTTCCCTTCCCTTCCTTTCCCTTCCCTTCCCTTCCCTTCCCTTCCCTTCCCTTCCCTTCCCTTCCCTTCCGCGGCTCCCAGGGCGGGCAGAGGAGCTGGGAAGGAGGAGCAGAGCTCTCCTGCTCTCCTCTCTGGTGTTCCCATCGCCGTGAGAGGGTTCTGAGCTGACCTGGGGGCTGTTCCAGGCTCTGTGAGAGGGTGGGATCAGTTTGGGGCGCTGGTGTGATCCAAGGAAGGAGAAGTTCTCTAAAGCTGCTTTTAGGGAAAGGCATTTTAGGGTGGTTTGGCTCAGATTAACCACTGCCCCTGGGGCCAGCAGAGCCTTGGAGGGGTCCAGGGGTGTTTTGGGGTTGGTTTTTGGGATTGTGGAGGCAGCTCTGCCCCTTTCTGCACCCTGACCCTGGCACGGCATTCCCGGCTGTGCTGGGAAGGGCTGGGGGGCTCTGCCCTGTGCCCAGGGACCCCCTGGCATGGGGCCACCCCCAGCTCGTGTCCCCCAGGCTCCCTTTAGGGCCCTGCAGCTCGGATTCTCCCCCGGCATGGCAGGAGTGAAAGGCAGGAATTGCGCGTCCAGAGCCAGGCTCTCAACTTCACACCAAAGTATGTAGCAGAATCTGTACAGCTGTTAATAACTACCACTGGTTTTTGTAAAAAAGGGCCAAAAAGAGAAAAAAAAAAAAAAAAAGAATAAAAAGTCAATGTACTGAAGCTCTACCGCAAGCAAAGTGTCTCTAAACCCTCTGCTCCATGGAATTTCACTGAGGGGTGGGAAAGGCAGGAGAGGGGAGGGTTGGGGGGCACAGGACAGCCCTGACAGGGACCCCCGAGTTTGGGAGTGATGCTGGAGGTGGGATGGAGGCCAGGATGGATGGGAGGAATTCCCAGCCCTCGGCATCTCCCCCATGCCAGGGGATCCCAAAGCCCATCCCTCCCTTCCTGCACCCTGGCACTCGGCTCCTGCCGGGACTGGGGATGCAGGAGAGGGCTGGGAGTGGGAATCCTGCCCCGGGCAGTGCCTCCCATTGCCGGCATTGCAACAGCGGCATTCCCGAGCTCCCTGCTGNTGCCAGTCAGCGGCTGATTTATTATTCATTTGTGTTATAGGTGGGGTGTGCAGACAGTTACTGTAATAATTACCCGGACTGGAGCGTTTCCTTGGCAACCGGGGTTTTTTTCTCCATTCATGCTGTTGCGGAGAGTACGCCTGTAAAGCATGACATTGCTGTATTCGGGGGTTTGTTGCCCTCCCGCTGCTCCGGGTTTGAGGTTAGTTACAGCATCACAAGGTGCTCTCGAGCATAAAAAGCTCAGGCTGGGATTAAAGCACGCAGGGAACG